TTACATTTTTCAACAAAATTTCCATTTAACCTTAAATAGTGCTTGCAAGTTTCGAGGCCTTTTGCCCGCATTTCTGAAAAGGAATTTTGCGTGAAAATTGGACAAAAAGGAGGGCGGCCATTTTTTTTACGTTGAAAAATATCCAAACAAAAGAATGGCAATTTTTTAAAAAAACCCTGAATTCGGAGGAGATAAATTTGTAATTTGAATTTAAGAAAAAGGTACTGCCAGTCTTCCAAAAGGTCCAGACTTATGTTCAAAAGCTAAAAAAGGTCCTTGAATAGTTCATACTAAATACTTTTCCTTTCTTTCGTCTATCAAAATTTGTTCTGATACTCTGTCTTGCTATGTAACTAATCTTCATACTCACAAAAAGTTGATAAGAATATCAAGACCGCTTCGGCTATCAGTGTGGGTATCCCTGTTCGTGATGTTACTGTGATGCTCTCAAACGTCCAACCCAGTAATGTCAGGCCCTTCAGTCCTGGTGTGTTTGATTGCAGTTAGTATCTACTGCCTGTTCTACGTATGTGCGCCACTTCTCCTAGAATCGCTTGAATGGTTGCTTACTTCCCCGTAGGCACCACACATTAATGCGCTTTGTCACCGGTTGTCGGCAAGGTGAGCGACATGTCCTGCTTATCGGATTTTACTTCCCCACTTGGTCGCAATAATACCATGAACGCCACTCAGCCGACGGAGAGTCTGATTGTTTATATGGTCGCGGAGAGATATACCAATCATCCTTCGCTCCTTTGCTGTCTGTGTCACTCCCAGCGCTTCGTGTTTAGTTTTCGTGAGTGATCACATGTCGCATCATTCATTGCTTTCAACACAGCGGTATTGAAGAGGTGAGTACGGTCTCTCCAGTTTGACACAAGCAGATAGATAAGAATGGGGGAGTGTATTTCTGTTACAGAAATTACTAGGTTGAGGCTATTGTACTTTCGTCATTTTGGTGCATTTTTCGGTTTTTAGTTAAAAATTTATTCAAAGATGAAATACGAAGAATATTTACTGATCTACAGATTCTTCGGCGTCGCCGGCATCACCAGATACACCGCTTGCGACGCGCAAATGCAATCACATCGGAGTACGGAAGCGGAAATCCATCGCCTACAACTTTGTACAGTACATACAATCCTAATCTGGATGACTCAGAATCGGATTCGTGGACCGCCGAGTATGAGCGATCACAACATATCAAGGTTTATTATACTGGGGCAGTTGAAATTTTTTCATTGCAAAATTTACGTCGAAATGAGGGTCACTACTGCCTGCGCGAGCAAAATTTTTTTAATCCCTTAAAAACGCTTTTTCCAGCCGATTCATTTGCTCGGCTTCCAGAAAATTTTGCAGCTTCCTAATCGAGGTAATTTCTGTTGACCTCATGACGTTCGTTCGATGATAAGAACAGTCCTATTTTATCATTCTCCGTTTTGGACTCCAGGAAGGCGCAACCTTGTACTTATTCGTAGAAGGTCTCGATCCATATTTGAAACGAAAAGCTCTATGTGAATATTTTAATGAACTTTGCCTAACATTTACGAGTAAGCCTATCACCACCAAAATCACCTGGACCAGCTACATAATCATATGTCATTGTGATACAGTTCTGAGATAAGATGAAATACGACTATCGCCAATCTTTTCAGCCTTAAGTGCCATGGTCAAATCTGTTTAAAACGCCGCGACATGAATCAGATGTCGTCGATTAGATTTTTGGTTTTTTGCAAATTGCGAATTTTCTTTGATTTTTTTTAGGAGTTGGAATGCAAGCTACGAGAACAAAAGAAAAAACTAAAA